AACTACGTCACCCGCTTCGAGCAGCTGGCATCAAAGGCTCAGCTCAAGGACGCCGAGGTCAATGGCACCAACCGCGTTGAGAACGACTACCACACTCTCCACGCCAACTTCGTCAAAGGACTCCCGAAGGAGCTATATTTTGCTCTCGCAACAAGGGTCGCTAGGGATCGACCCAACACCATGAAGGCCTGGTACGACGAAGTCCGAAATGCTGACGCAGCCAAGCAGGGGGCTCTCATCGTCACAGACACCAGGGACTATGGCAAACCAATGGATATCGACGCCGCTGCCATCGCATCAACCTTCGCCTCCACATCGGGAGGAAGGAAATGGGAACTAGGAGCTGTTCTCAACGAGGCCGATCGAAAGCTCCACAGGGACGGGAACTTGTGCTTCTACTGCCACATCAAGGGTCACAGCACCAAGGATTGCCGCAAGAAAGCGGCCGCACGACAAGGGGGTGGGAGGCCGAACCAGGGAGGATCTGGGAAGGACGACTTCCGTGCCAGAATCAAGGCACTCTCCGCTGACGAGAAGCGGGAGCTGTACGAAGAACTTACGATGGAGGATTTATGAAGGGGCAGGGTGAGCCGACGCAACCACTGCCCGTATCCGTTTCACTGTCCCGTGTAATTCTAGTAGTCCGAAATGAATGCGCTCTGCACATTCCGATTACTGTGGAATGAAAAGACGTCGAGGCGCGCGCTTTCATCGATAGCGGCGCAACAGGAATCTTCATCAGCCCGAGATTCGTCCGAGAACATCGACTTCGGACAAAACCTCTTCCCCGACCCATCCCCGTCTTCAACGTGGATGGAACTCTGAACAAAGAAGCACTTATTACGCAAAGAGCTCTCTTATCTTACAAGATAAGCAGAGAACCCCAATCTGTCAAAGCCTACATCGCCAGCATCGGCAAGGAAGACATCATCTTCGGCCATACCTGGCTCAAGCTCGAAAACCCCAAGATAGACTGGAAAACTGGACAAGTTGAGCTAAACCACCGATGGATGAAAGACGAGACCAGGGCCTGGAAGATGGACCTGTACCAAAGGCGAGTGGCCCAGCTAGAACTAAAGAAGGCCGTAACTACCCCACTCCCAGAACCAACGGAGGACGAATTCGTCGTCATCCCCACCTCAGAGCACGCAACCCTTCCTGAACAGAAGACTAGTGGCGCAGCAGGATACGATATCTCTGCTACGCACCACCTCATCATCCCCGCCCGACGATGAGGCCTGGTCGGCACTGACCTTATCATGACTATTCCCAAGGGACACTACGGAAGAATCGCACCTCGGTCCGGTCTAGCGCTAAAAGAAATTGATGTCGCTGCAGGAGTAATCGACTCCAATTACCGAGGCAAGGTCTCAGTCCTGCTGGTCAATAACTCTGACCTCCAATTCACCATCAAAGCCGGCGACCGAGTTGCCCAGCTCATCCTTGAAAGGATAAGCACTCCACCAGTGATGCTAACCGACTGCATCAACGAAACTGAATGTGGGGAGGATGGGTTTGGGTCAACGGGTATTGCGTCCATCGAGGAACAAGCGGAGGACATCGACGATGATGAGTTCATCATTTCCTACTTATCTGGGGCGCCGATGATCACCAAGTATGAGAAACAGGAACCCCTGGCAGTGAGGGACGTTCCACTCAAGGAGCAACTCCCTGAACTTTCATCTGGCTACAAACAACTCCACAACGGCATGATCTGGAAGATCCACCACGACATTAGGCACGTCACCACTTCCACCAAACTTGCAGCCTCGAACGCCCAAGGCAAAACAGAAAAAATGCTACCACAGATGGTACCATCCTACCTACACGATCTCCTCCCCGTCTTCGACAAAGCCACGGCTGCGCGACTTCCAGACCACACCGAATATGACCATGAAATCAACCTCAAGGAGGGCTTCGCGGACATGAAGCAACAGGTCTATCCGCTCAACCCGCAGCAACGAAAGGAACTCGACAAGTTCCTCGAGGAGAACCTGAGTAAAGGGTACATTCGCCCTTTGAAATCCCCTTTGGCGAGTCCATT